GAGAATGATGTCTTAGAAGTTTGAATCTACGAATTTTCGATGAATAATTCGCTTTATACGATCAATATGCAAACTCCAACGGATCGCTATTGTTTTCGGAGGTAAACGAGCTAAAAGGCACCATATTTAGAGTAATGGGTTAACAACATTAACTCAAAATGTGAAAGCAATGGAATAATCTTTTTTGCACAAATAACATTCAAAATTGTCCTAAAAACATAATCCATAACCGATTTTCATCTAACATTGATTATTGTCAACCTAACGGACTCAAAACCCGAAATCTTTCAAATTTGCTAACTTTTGACATCATAATGGCTTATACATATCTCAAAAAGTAAAACCAGTGGAACAATTTTTTTGCACAATAAAGAGTGAACTCTTTGTTCTTGAAATAAAAAGTATTAAAGTTAATTAGTTAATTTCTGAAAAATCCATTTCATGGAAATTTTTTATGAAACTCTTACTGATTATCAATTAAAGCTTCTACTATCCAATAAATTAGTCCGTTTTGAGATATCACTCTTGGTTCTTAAGATACAAACTTTTTAATTCAATTAGAAATTTTTGCCGATTTTTACCAATAACGTTAAAATTTCTGAAAAATCAATTTATTGGAAAATTCTTATGAAACTACCACCAGTTATCAATAAAATTAAAGCATGTACTATCCAATAAATAAGTCCGTTTTGAAATATCAGTCTTTGTTCTTGAAATAAAAAGTATTCAAGTTATTAATAGCAGTTTTTGCCAATTTTTTCGTGTTACTTTAAAAGTTTCTGAAAAATCCATTTCATGGAATTCTTTTATGAAACTCTTACTGATTATCAATTAAAGCTTCTACACTTATGGTTCTTAAGATACAAACTTTTTACTCCAATTAGCAATTTTTGCCGATTTTTACCAATAACTTTAAAAATTTCTGAAAAATCAATTTCTTGGAAAATTGTTATGAAACTGGTGTCAATTATTAACTAAAGCTTGTATTATCCAATAAATAAGTCCGTTTTGAAATATTACTGTTTATTCTTGAGATATAAAGTATTAAAGTTAATTAACAGTTTTTGCCGATTTTTTTGTGTTACTTTAAACATTTCTGAAAAATCCATTTCATGGAAATTATTTATGAAACTCTCATTGATTATCAATTAAAGCTGCTACTATCCAATAAATTAGTCCGTTTTGAGATATCACTCTTGCTTCTTGAGATACAAACTTTTTACTTCAATTAGCAATTTTTGCCGATTTTGTCGTGTAATTTTAAAAATGTCTGAAAAATCAATTTATTGGAAAATTCTTATGAAACTACCATTAGTTATCAATTAAAGCTTGTACTATCCAATAAATAAGTCCGTTTTGAAATATCACTCTTTGTTCTTGAGATAAAAAGTATTAAAGTTAATAGGCAGTTTTTGCAGATTTTTTCGTGTTACTTCAAAAATTTCTGAAAAATCCATTTCATGGAAATTTTTTATGAAACTCTCACCCAATATCAATTAAAGCTTCCACTATCCAATAAATTAGTCCATTTTGAGATATCACTCTTGGTTCTTGAGATACAAACTTTTTAATTCAATTAGCAATTTTTTCAGATTTTTTCGTGTAATTTTAAAAATGTCTGAAAAATCAATTTATTGGAAAATTCTTATGAAACTACCATTAGTTATCAATTAAAGCTTGTACTATCCAATAAATAAGTCCGTTTTGAAATATCACTCTTTGTTCTTGAGATAAAAAGTATTAAAGTTAATAGGCAGTTTTTGCAGATTTTTTCGTGTTACTTCAAAAATTTCTGAAAAATCCATTTCATGGAAATTTTTTATGAAACTCTCACCCAATATCAATTAAAGCTTCCACTATCCAATAAATTAGTCCATTTTGAGATATCACTCTTGGTTCTTGAGATACAAACTTTTTAATTCAATTAGCAATTTTTTCAGATTTTTTCGTGTAATTTTAAAAATGTCTGAAAAATCAATTTATTGGAAAATTCTTATGAAACTACCATTAGTTATCAATTAAAGCTTGTACTATCCAATAAATAAGTCCGTTTTGAAATATCGCTCTTTATTCTTGAGATAAAAAGTATTAAAGTTAATTAGCAGTTTTTGCCGATTTTTTCGTGTTACTTTAAAAATTTCTGAAAAATCCATTTCATGGAAATAATTTATGAAACTCTCACCGAATATCAATTAAAGCTTCTACTATCCAATAAATGAGTCCGTTTTGAGATATCACTCTTGGTTCTTGAGATACAAACTTTTTAATTCAATTAGCAATTTTTTCCGATTTTTTCGTATAATTTTAAAAATGTCTGAAAAATCAATTTATTGAAAAATTCTTATGAAACTACCATTCGTTATCAATTAAAGCTTGTACTATCCAATAAATAAGTCCGTTTTGAAATATCACTCTTTGTTCTTGAGATAAAAAGTGTTAAAGTTGATTGGCAGTTTATGCCACTATTTTCATGTAACTTTAGAATTTCCTGAAAAGTCCATTTCATGGATTTCTTTTATGAAACTCTCACCGATTATCAATTAAAGCATCTACTATCCAATAAATTAGTCCGTTTTGAGAAATCACTCTTGGTTCTTAAGATACAAACTTTTTACTTCAATTAGCAATTTTTGCCGATTTTTTCGTATAATTTTAAAAATGTCTGAAAAATCAATTTATTGAAAAATTCTTATGAAACTACCATTCGTTATCAATTAAAGCTTGTACTATCCAATAAATAAGTCCGTTTTGAAATATCACTCTTTGTTCTTGAGATAAAAAGTGTTAAAGTTGATTAGCAGTTTTTGTCGGTATTTTCGTGTAACTTTAGAATTTCCTGAAAAGTCCATTTCATGGAATTTTTTTATGAAATTCTCACCGATTATCAATTAAAGCATCTACTATCCAATAAATTAGTCCGTTTTGAGAAATCACTCTTGGTTCTTAAGATACAAACAAAATTTTTACCCAGTTTTTACTAATGACTTTAAAACTTTCTGAAAAATCAATTTCATAGAAAATTTTTATGAAACTGTTACCAATTATTAATTAACGTTTGTACTATCCAATAAATCAGTCCGTTTTGAAATATCACTCTTTGTTCTTGAGATAAAAAGTGTTAAAGTTGATTAGCAGATTTTGCCGATATTTTCGTGTAACTTTAGAATTTCCTGAAAAGTCCATTTCATGGAATTTTTTTATGAAACTCACCGATTATCAATTAAAGCATCTACTATCCAATAAATTAGTCCGTTTTGAGATATCACTCTTGGTTCTTGAGATACAAACCTTTTGCTTCAATTAGCAATTTTTGCCGATTTTTACCAATAATTTTAAAAATGACTGAAAAATGAATTTCTTGGAAAATTGTTATGAAACTGGTACCAATTATTAATTAACGTTTGTACTATCCAATAAATAAGTCCGTTTTGAAATATCACTCTTTGTTCTTGAGATAAAAAGTGTTAAAATTGATTAGCAGTTTTTGTCGGTATTTTCGTGTAACTTTAGAATTTCCTGAAAAGTCCATTTCATGGAATTTTTTTATGAAACTCTCATCGATTATCAATTAAAGCATCTACTATCCAATAAATTAGTCCGTTTTGAGAAATCACTCTTGGTTCTTAAGATACAAACTTTTTAATTCAATTAGAAATTTTTACCCATGTTTTACCAATAACTTTAAAACTTTCTGAAAAATCAATTTCTTGAAAAATTGTTATGAAACTGTTACCAATTATTAATTAACGTTTGTACTATCCAATAAATAAGTCCGTTTTGAAATATAACTATTTGTTCTTGAGATAAAAAGTATTAAAGTTAATTAGCAGTTTTTTTCCGATTTTTTCGTGTTACTTCAAAAATTTCTGAAAAATCCATTTCATGGAAATTTTTTATGAAACTCTCACCGATTATTAATTAAAGCATCTACTATCCAATAAATTAGTCCGTTTTGAAAAATCACTCTTGGTTCTTAAGATACAAACTTTTTAATTCAATTAGAAATTTTTACCCATGTTTTACCAATAACTTTAAAACTTTCTGAAAAATCAATTTCTTGGAAAATTTTTATGAAACTGTTACCAATTATTAATTAACGTTTGTACTATCTAATAAATAAGTTCGTTTTGAAATATCACTCTTTGTTCTTGAGATAAAAAGTGTTATAGTTGATTAGCAGTTTTTGCCGGTATTTTCGTGTAACTTTAGAATTTCCTGAAAACTCCATTTCATGTATTTTTTTTATGAAACTCTCATCGATTATTAATTAAAGCATCTACTATCCAATAAATTAGTCCGTTTTGAGAAATCAATAGTTCCTAAGATACAAATGTTTTAATTCAATTAGAAATTGTGTTTTACCAATAACTTTAAAACTTTCTGAAAAATCAATTTCTTTCAAAACTAAACTCACAACTAAACAAAACCAACCTCACCTAACATTCCTTCACGGTATAATTGACGTTTCGAAGAAAAACTAAAAAGTTAAGAATTGTCCGAAACTTTTTAGTTCTAGGTCTAGTGTTAGTTCTAGTTTTAATTGTTATTCAGAGCTGACGTCACGAACGGGCCTTCCAGCCAGGATGCAGCAATCCTCTTTAGATTCTACCTCATCCTTGGTATAAATATAAAATTATTCATATAACGGACTTTTGTCGTATTGATTCTCATTATTTAAGAAGATTATTGAAGACATTCTTCGTCCCAAAATGATTACGGAACAGTTAACCGTGTAACGTGGTGGTAAATTTGAAGCGACGGCGCCTGAAAATGTGCGAATGCACGAAACGTTGTGTACACGGGATCAGCGGCCGGAGCGCGGGCCTTTTCTCACAATTACCAAAAGCCCTCACTTAAAACGCCCATTTGCTGGTGTCGGCGACCGGGCGCATGAATATTTCATCTTTCCCGCGAATACATTACACCTTCCATTTCGAAATATCGACCCGATGATGGGAGCTTGAAACGGGGCGAAGAAATACGCGAGAAGATGTGCTTACCTATTGCTCTCGGAAGCGGCGTTGGAAACCTTATGGTTGGCGTTGCCCTGCAACAAGAAAAAGTAACGAATAAACGCAAATAGCAGCATAAACCTAGAGTATCCAAAGATACACCCGTACTCTAATAGCCATATTGCAAATAGGGGCCCTTAACGACTGGCAGACGGCCAACGAAAACTCGTTCCGTTAAGAATACGCTGTTGCGGCTATTCACAAAAATAGATTTACAGCCATTACACGGATTAAACGCCACCATGTTTATGAAAATAAAGCAAAAAATTCATTGTTGTACGCAGTATTATATTAATCTACTTTGAATTACACTATATAATACTTCGTTTTAATAAAAACACCATTAAAAGTATTACATCGATTTCAATGTAAACAAATCATAAACATTTTTTTTATGTGAAACCGATTCGATATCGACGCGAGTATTGTCGTTATAACGCAATGATTTAATATTTAATGAATCGCTGCTATAAAACACTATTATATATAATTTAAATTTCAATTACTATACACATAAAAAACTTTCAAATAAATTGCTATACTCACGACATTAATATTCATAATTTTATGAAATACGGTTTAAAAGAAAATAATTTTTTTAATATACAACATCATTTAAAAATAAAAAATAAAATCTATTGTTAGTATAAGCTAAAAATATATAATCTAAACTTGACACAATCTCTTTGTTTATTATTTCAATATGCTTTTACTATTTATTTATATCTCCATCCAATTTTGATGGTTGTTTTTGTTCAGATACACTACACAATACGTAAATAAATAAACAGATGCGTTCGAGATTATTTAAAATTAAAAAAATCGTTACGATTCATTTTAAAACAATAGGGGCATCGGGAATGTGAAATATATGCGGAAAATCTGAACTCACCGTTCAATTCTTGAACATTTCAAGTTTCTTGCGACGACGTACGGTCCGCATAACTCGGTTAAACGTCCGAAAATCTCGTATCCAAACACGCGAATAATTTGTGGAATGTCCGCGGAACGCGACCGACTCAATTAGGAGAGACACTGACCGGCGGCTTCTGGCGGCTTCGGGCGTTTCAAGCGTTTCAGGCGTGGTTTCAGCACACGACGACCCACTCGACACGACCATAGCCACGTATAAATAGCTCGCGGGCCTTTCTTCTCTTTCAATACGTCCACTCGAACCGTACCGCGGAAAATAGAACCTTTAAAGTAGGCCAGCTGACCAACAAACACAAGACTAACAGCTTCTGGTTCATCTTTACCAACGTCAATTTAAATCTTTTAATAGTTTCTTGCTGTGTTTTGTTGATTTAAAATTAGGGACCACCAGGATGAGGGTTACTGAATGGGGGTGGTGATTGGATAGGACCGTTAAAATCCCCTTGTCACAGATACGGATTGGGACGTCACGTCGCGTTGACGACGACAATACAATATCGGACTGCAAATTAAGTCATGCGCTGCTGACCGTACTTGCATGATATTTGAATGCACCTGCTACGACTGGTGACCCAAGGGCCATTCAGGCAATTCAACAGTAATCTATCCACCCTCTGACAAATGGCCTCAATCAACTCTCTGAACCCTCTTTTAAAACTTTCTCTCCCAACTTTCCCTTATCTTTGCATTCTAAACGTAACCCTAAAGAAATATTGTTGTTGAATACTTAAGAATTGTTAAATCATTTATCTAAATTTACTTGACAAATTATTCATAAAATTTTAAACGAAACAATAAAAATTGGGAAATATCTCAAATAAAAGTATTGAGTTTTACGTAGATACCTCAAAAACTTTGTATTTTGTTGTATCTGACATTTTTGACTCAACAATTTTTAATTAAAACGTCAAAAATGCTTTCATTTGGTACCAAACACGATATGTTTAGCGTAAATAATAAAAAAGTTATTCAAAGAAATATTTCGTTTGACAGCTGTCACTTTTAATTTGACAGTTGTTACAGAGAACCATAAAAATGCTTTCCTTTGTTATCAAACACGATGTATTTGGGTTGAAAAATAAGAAAGATATTCAAAAAACTGCTTTATTTTTTAACTGTCTTTTTTGACTTGACAGCTGTCACTTTTCATTTAATAATTTTTAATTAAAACATCGAAAATGCTTTCATTTGATACCAAACACGATATGTTTAACGTAAATCATAAAAGAGTTATGAGAAAAAACATTTCGTTTGACACCTGTCATTTTTAATTTGACATTTGTTACGGAGAACTTTAAAAATGCTTTCATTTGTTATCAAACATGATGTGGTTGGGTTGAGAGATAAGAAAGATATTCAAAAAACTGTTGTATTTTTTAACTGAGATTTTTTATTTGACAGCTGTCATTTTTCATTTAATAATTTTTAGTTAAAATATCGAAAATGCTTACATTTGATACTAAACACGATACGTTTAACATAAATCATAAAAGAGTTATGCAAAGAAACATTTCGTTTGACACCTGTCATTTTTGATTTGACATTTGTTACGGAGACCCTTAAAAATGATTTCATTTGTTATCAAACACGATGTGTTTGGGTTGATAAATAAAGAAGATATTCATAAAACTGTTTTATTTTTTAATTGTCATTTTTGATTTGACAACTGTTATTTCTCATTTAATAATTTTTAGTTAAAACATCAAAAATGCTTTCATTTGATGCCAAACACGATACGTTTAACATAAACCATAAAAGAGTTATGCAAAAAAAACATTTTGTTTGACAGCTGTCATTTTTTATTTAACAATGTTGATGATACATCGAAAATACATCTTTCTGCTGTTATTAAGATGGTGTACTTTAAATTAATAACAAATACAACGTAATAATGTCAAATAAGAAATAAAAAAATTAAAAGGGAATGTTTCATTAGGCAGGTGTCACTTTAAATTTGACACCTGTCACTTTAAAAGACATAAATGTTTTTATTTTATACAAATTTATCTTTTTGTTGATATTAAGAGAGGTACTTCAAATTAATATTAGATACAATGTATTTTTAGCCAACAAGGAAAGAAAAAAATAAAAGGGAATGTTTCATTTGACAGGTGTCATTTTGTATTTGTCAACTGTCACTTTTATTTTGATAGCTTTTATTTAGACATTGTAATTATTTTCTCCTGTTAATGTTAGGAGAAGTATGCTTTAAATCAAATTAAGTACTATGTATGTTAGTTTATAAAATTTAATCATTTTAAAGAAAATGTTTCATTTGACAGATGTCAGTTTTAATTTGACATTTGTTACCTAGAACGCCATATTTTTGTTTAATTCAAGAAGACTGGGTATATTCAGGTTAAGAAACAAGTTACACAAAGAAAATACTGTATGTGTTAACTGTCACTTTTGGTAAATGACAGCTGTCAATGCTATTTAAAAATTTTAATTATTATATTTTTGGTGTTAAAAGAGGTATGATTTAAATCAAAACAAGCACAGTGTATGTAAGTTTATGAAAATTAAAAAAAAAATTGTTTCATTTGACAGATGTCAGTTTTAATTTGACATTTGTTACCTAGAACGCCATATTTTTGTTTAATTCAAGAAGACTGGATATATTCAGGTTAAGAAACAAGTTACACAAAGAAAATACTGTATGTGTTAACTGTCACTTTTGGTAAATGACAGCTGTCAATGCTATTTAAAAATTTTAATTATTATATTTTTGGTGTTAAAAGAGGTATGATTTAAATCAAAACAAGCACAGTGTATGTAAGTTTATGAAAATTAAAAAAAAAATTGTTTCATTTGACAGATGTCAGTTTTAATTTGACATTTGTTACCTAGAACGCCATATTTTTGTTTAATTCAAGAAGACTGGATATATTCAGGTTAAGAAACAAGTTACACAAAGAAAATACTGTATGTGTTAACTGTCACTTTTGGTAAATGACAGCTGTCAATGCTATTTAAAAATTTTAATTATTATATTTTTGGTGTTAAAAGAGGTATGATTTAAATCAAAACAAGCACAGTGTATGTAAGTTTATGAAAATTAAAAAAAAAATTGTTTCATTTGACAGATGTCAGTTTTAATTTGACATTTGTTACCTAGAAGGCCATATTTTTGTTTAATTCAAGAAGACTAGATATATTCAGGTTAAGAAACAAGTTATACAAAGAAAATACTATATGTGTTAACTGTCACTTTTGTTAAATGACAGCTGTCAATGCCATTTAGACATTCAAATTATTATATTGTTGGTATCAAAAGAGGTATGCTTTAAATCAAAACAAGGTCAGTGTATGTATGTAAGTATATAAAAATTAAAAAGAAAATGTTTCATTTGACAGATGTCAGTTTTAATTTGACATCTGTCACCTACAATGTCATAGTTTTATTTAATCCAAGAAAACTGGTTGTATTCAACTCAACTAAAATATTTGCATTCATAATATTTATTTCTTCCACCATATTAAAAAAAAATTATAAAAAATCGAATTCTTAAGATATAGTATTGAATTGGTGGTACTTTGTAGAAAAAAGTACGTACTTTTTTAAGAACAAAGTCGTACTTGGAAATCTTTATTCGTTCTTGAGATAATAAATTTTGAACTCACCTAAAATTTTTGTCTTTGCAATATCTATTTTTTCCATCATATTAAAAAAATCATAAAAAATCGAATTCTTAAGATATAGTATTGAATTGGTGAGCATTTATAGAGAAAAGTATGTACTTTTTTATGAATAAAGTCGAACTTGGAAATCTTTATGCCTTCTTGAGATAAAAATTTTTGATCTCAACTAAATTTTTGTCTGTAATACCTATTTTTTCCATCATATTAAAAAAAATCATAAAAAAAAGAATTCTTAAGATATAGTATTGAATTGGTGGTACTTTGTAGAGAAAAGTATGTACTTTTTCATGAACAAAATCGTACTTGGAAATCTTTATTCGTTCTTAAGATAATAAATTTTGAACTCAATTAAAATTTGTGTCTTTATCATATCTATTTTTTCCATCATATTAAAAATAATCATAAAAAATCGAATTCTTAAGATGCAGTTTTGAATTGGTGGTACTTTGTAGAGAAAAGTATGTACTTTGTCATAAACAAAATCGTACTTGGAAATCTTTATTCGTTTTTGAGATAATACATTTTGAACTCAATTAAAATTTGTG